TGACTCAGCCTCCTGTAGTGACATTCTCTCCAGGAGACACCGCCACTCTGACCTGTACAACCAACCCTAAAGTGTACAGAGACAGTGATGAAGATGAGGGTATGTTCTGGTATCAACAGAGACCTGGAGAAGCTCCCAAACTCCTGATAATATATGGAACCACACTGTTAGAAGGGATTCCTGCTAGATTCAGTGGCAGTGGGTCTGAGAGTGACTTCACTCTGACCATCAGTGGAGTCCAGGCTGAAGATGCAGCAGTTTACTACTGTCAGAGTTACCGTGAGCTCAATGGTGAAGATGTGTTCACACAGTGATTTAGAGCCATACAAAAACCTTGTGTACAAAATGACACACATCACTGGTCCACTGAACACAGAACTAAGGGTCTTGTTATACGACATCAGCAAGTATAGCCACTTTACTAACTCACAGAAATAATGGTTACAAACTAGTTTCATAACCCTCACTACCTCCCATGGCTACACATATCCTCCTTATCAGAAAGATACAGGTGAGATAGTCCCATTGAGGGATGAATAATCGATTTCATGTCCATATAAAATCATGTGTGAAGCGTAAAAGTTGGTGTGCCTCAATGCTTGGTTGATCAACCAGACATACAGCTGGCCAACACTTCTGTGGAGCAGTATAGTGTGTGTGTGTGTGTGTGTAAGTACATGTGTGTGTTCGACAGAGAGAGAGCCCTGTGAAACAGAAACTTAGATTTCCCAGAATAGAGCAGTACACTCCCCAGATGTTCCCCCATCCTTAACACCACACCAGAACTAGACCAGAGGAGGTTGGCCAGTGGACATCCGACAGACTGGCAGAGGGTAAAAGTTCAACGTCATAAGTCAGACTTCAGTTACAGGTCATTTTATAGGTCACTGCACTAATCTTGTGTGGTGTCGACAGGAAGAGGTTGGCCACCGGACGTCAGCCAGACTGGTAGAGGTCAAAGATAAAAAGGTCAGAGGTCAGTTCCCCAGGGAAGAGAGTCAGTCCAACCCCAACATGCCACCAGACTGCCTGTCACTTTATTGTAGTCAGCTTTTAGTTGTCTTGACAAAGAGACTAGATGAAGAGAGCACCATTATCTAAGGTCAGATTTTACATCCCTGGTGCCCACTAGAATGGCATGAGGAAGTATTAGATAACTAGTGATGTACATCTGAAGATTCATCAGGAATTCATCAGGAATCAGCACTGAGCCAGATTCATCAGGAATTCATCAGGAATCAAATATATCATCAGGATTCATCAGGAATCACACTGAGCCAGATTCATCAGAATTCATTTCAGGAATCAGGCACTAAGACAGATTCATCATTATTAATCAGGATCAGCCCTGAGACAGCTTCACTCATGAATTCATCAGGAATCAACACTGAGGCAATTTTTCATCATCAATCAATGCATCAGGAACTCAGCACTGGCCAGATTCATTATGATTCCCTCAGGAAATCACACAGACAGATGGATCCTTCATCCCAGTCTAGAATACCTCCAGGATCACTGAACGGTCCAGCAAGTGCAGAGTCAACAGTTTCAAAGTCCCACGCTCAGCAACAAACACACAACCTCTAATCCTCCACCAGTACCTGTCCTGTTCGCCTTCAGCTCTCCCAGACCTAATCCTGAGTAAACTAACTGGCATCAGTCAGAGGATAACTTAACCTCCATGTATTACTCTGACTAGCAGGTCATAGGTCAGATATTAAGTTGCACCTTGCCCCCCCCCCTCTGTGCCAGTACGTTTAGGACATTACAGAACATCACCATTCCTTACATCACTGGAGTCTGAAGCGGTGTATGTTCTCTGTATCCCAGCTTTCTCCTCCATCATAACTAGGAGATCTGTCACAATGTTATTTTCATTCAGAAAAGCCTCATAATGGTTATGAAGTTGGGCAAACAATGTTGTAGTGGCGCCGTGTTGAACTTGTTGATTTTTGGCAGTGTAGCCTACACAAACTTAAACCAAAACAAAATGTTATCGTCAAGTAAACAAGCGATAAAGGTAAAAATATTTTGTTTGGTTAAAGCTTGTTGTATTATCCACGTGTGCCTACAAGCTGCTGGGCATATGGTTCCAGGCGAAGAGAAGCGAAAGAGCGAGTGGGAGGAGTTTGATTAAGATACAACCAATCAGAAAACTATTTTGTTGCCACCTAGTTGAAGCAACAGATGATGACATTCACTTTTTATTGCCAGCAGTAAAATTCAGTTAACCATTATGCTACTAATATCTGGTGACTTTGATACTGTTCTGTCATTGCACACCTGTCTAGATATGAATGTCAAAAGCAATAAAAGAGCTTGCTGGCCCAGTCTGTAATCCAACCAACAGCTGACCCTGAAACTGTTTGACTAATAACTCTTTATTTTCTGTCTGAACCATAGACTTAGATAGACAACATCATTATTGTATCTGTCCCATTATGGCGTCTGTGAGAGCACAGGCAGTACCATTGAGGCCATCTCCATTGTGAAGTCGTCCATTTTCTTCCTCTAATACTTCTACTGGTAAACAAACTAAAAGGGTGCATACTGCCACCTAGAATGTGTTGTTTGAACAGGTATAAAGCCAAGGCTGGCGATTTACTGCCACCTGCAGTAATGAATTGTTTCCTCATTAGTATAATTCATTGGCTGATCCCTCCTGATGACCAGGATGGAATTATGTGATCCTTCCTTAATCCACAGGAAGTCCCACCCAGTTGACTACTTAAAAATGGTGGAATCCCTCAATGGCAATGTCCATGCAAAAACGGTTATATCCATCTGAGGCCTCAATAATTTTTTATGGTCTGAACTGAACTTCAGCATGATGCCATTTTAGCACAAGGCCCACCCATGCTGAACCACTTCCCAGTCATGTGAAATCCGTAGATTAGGGCCTAATTTATTCATTTCAATTAACCGATTTCCTTATATGAACTGCAACTCAGTAAAATCATTGAAATTGTTGAGTGTTGTGTTTATATTTTAGTTTAGTATAGAATTGTCAAAGACTCCATCCACCCAAGTCATAGACTGTTCTCTCTGCTATCGCACGGCAAGTGGTCCCGGAGCGCCAAGTCTATGTCCAAAAGGCTTCTTAACAGCTTCTACCCCCAAGCCATAAGACTGCTAGACTGCTGAACAATTAATAAAATGGCCACCCTGCCCCCCTTGTTTTTACACTGCAGCTACTTCCTGTTTATTATCTATGCATAGTCACTTTACCACTACCTACATGTACAAATTACTTCGACTAACCTGTACCCCCGTACATTGACTCGGTACCGGTACCCACTGTATATAGCCTCGCTATTGTTATTTTGTTGTGTTACTTTATATTTTATTTACTTTAGTAAATTTAGCAAATATTTTCTTAACTCTATTTTCTTATATCTGCATTGTTGGTTAATGCTTGTAAGTAAGCATTTCACTTTGTATTCGGCGCATGTGACCAATTGTATTTTATTTTATTTTATTTGGATAGCAATACACTAGTGTTGAATGAATACACTTACATGTAACTAAATACTATGGTCAATTACAGGCCTTCCACAGATGTATTAAGCTATTGTATTCCACGTTTAAGATTATTGTGTTTATGTCATTGCATTAACAGTTTCATCATCTGTCCTGAGGGAGGGTATTTCCATAGAGAAGGTGCTTTGCATTGGCAGCTCATGCTTCAGTGCTCTGGGAGTGTTTATAGCCCTGGGAGTTTCAGACTGCAGGACTGAGATCTGTCTTGACACTTTAAGACTGCAGTGTTATTATCGTTGGGTCCAGTCTGTTCAGACTTCTCAGAGCCACAGATGATGATGAAGATGATGAAGATAATATCACTGATTCCACTGCTGATCACAGTGGGGTTCCTGACTCAGGGTGAGAAACTCTCAGCATCTCTCCCTGTGGTCTACTGGTTTGAAAAGGTTTTAATGGGCTTGTACATGTTCATGTACATGGAAAAAGTTTCCAATGCCTTTTATGTGGATTTTTAAGACTACTCAAAACTAATTTCCCCTTTTCAATTTCAGAGTCCTCTGCACAACGTGTCCTGAATCAAGCTGATGAATCAAAGTCAGTTCGTCTGGGAGAGAATGTGTCTATCAAAGCTGTTGCAAGTTCATCTGGTATTGATGATGACATGAGCTGGTACCTGCTGAAACCTGGACAGGCTCCTAAACTCCTCATCTATAGAGTAAATAGACTTCAGTCTGGAACACCATCTAGATTCAGTGGCAGTAGATCAGGTACTGAGTACACTCTTACAATCACTGGTGTCCAAGCTGAAGATGCAGGAGATTACTATGGTATGGGTGTATATGGCGGCCCAGAGCTCTTCACACAGTGATTTAGAGTCGTACAAAAACCTCCCTCAGTCAGACTGAACAGAGACTGTACTGCTGCAGCTGGGACCTACTGCAGGTGTTGAGGAGCAACAGACTATGACATGAAACACTGGTTTACTGAACACACACCTCAAGTCCTGGTTATATGACATCACCAAGCATAAATAACCACTACTTTACCACCATACAGAACATCTGGGTGCAACTGAAATACACCAAATAGTTTAGTCATGATCAAAACCAACAGCTATATCCCATAACCCCCTTCCATGTCTATAATGGTCAGATGATGTGGTTCTGCTCCTGTCCCCAGATATTCACTGTCCCAAGGGGTCTACCCACTACCCACCCTCCCTCACCCCCTATCAACCTGCTAATGTTCATTTTGTTACAGAGCAGTTTAGTCTTTGTTTAACAACCACAAGTCCACAGATATTCACAATTATATTCATAATAAAAATCAGGGACACCTTCTTTGACATTAATACAAAGTACTTTATTTTGTTAACATTTCCAATCTAAAAGCAATACAACCACACGTACAGATGTAAAGATGCAGAAACACAAATTGATGACCAAAGCTGAAGCTATAGATAGATATTTAGAATGATGGAATGACAGACAGATAGGTGTTCTCTGTGTACAGGGGGTCTACTGGGAGCAGTGGCGTGGCTCCAGTGTGTGAGTGACAGGGGTCTGGTCCTTTAGGGTGGCCTCACAGGTGACTGAGCCAGCATTCTTCCACTGGTCAGTGGGGAGGGTGAGGCTGCTGCTCCAGCTGTAGTGACCGTCCTTCTCCAGGACCTCCAGACTCTGGCTGCCCTGCAAGGCTCCCCCGGCCCCCAGCCTCCAACCCAGCTTCCAGCCCCCCGGGAAGCCCCTGTTGGCCAGGCACACTAGGGCAACATTCCCCTTGTCCTGCTCCTCACTGGAGGGGAGTAGGACGGTCAGGGAGGGACGTACCACACCCACTAGGAGAGAGAAGGGGAGGGGGGACAGGAGAGATGACATGTAAGGGGTAAACTGGACAAGAACCTTGAAGAACTTTCAACAACTTTAACATGAAGAAACAAATCTGATATTTGTATTATATAAAATAGTTTGTGAAAATGACAGGTTATCTATAAATATATACTACACACTCTTTTACTTCCCTCTAATAACATCTATGAAGCATGAGCACACACTAAGTTCAGTGATGCGTTAAAGTACAGTACATAAACAAAACTTACGTGCTTACAATGAAAACATTTTTATAATGCTGCTGAACTGTTTTTGTGTATTTAAAGACATCCAACACATCAAACTATTATTTTCTAATGGTGGATATTTGGTATATGAAGTTTCTGTCCTTGAATGATCATTACAGTATATAGAAACATTGCAACTAATCGGTATAAAAATAAATTAAACATTCAAAACGACAACTATTTAACAATTTTGACTTTTTGTGATTTTATAAATGTTCAATTGAATGTATTATAAAAAGGAATGAACCTCTTGTACTTACAGTCAATGATGAGTTTGGTGCCACCACCGAAAGTCCTCCACAGTGATACAGACTCATTGAACGGCCGTACAAAAACCTCCTGCACTTTATACACACCAGTAACTCTCTACACAACACACATTCAACCCTACCACTGATAGTCAGTCAAAAACACCATATACAGGTCATAACATTCAAATTAATTTGTTTGATTTTTCAGATTATAAATTTTAGCTGATTTCCCCCATGACTTTAAAATATAAATGTTGGAGATGTCAAATATCTCTGACAAACTCACTAAGTACAATAAGGCAGCCATATAGAACAGCAAAACACTAGTATTTAATTATATGTATTTAAAAACTATGGTCAAGTCCTTCCACAGATTTAGGTAAGCTCTTTCCTTCCATGTTCAAGATTATTGTTGTGTTGCATTAACAGTTTCATCATCTGTCCTGAGGTTGGGTATTTCCATAGAGAAGGTGCTTTGCATTGTCAGCTCATGCTTCAGTGCTCTGGGAGTGTTTATAGCCCTGTAAGTTTCAGACTGCAGAACTGAGATCTGTCTTGACACTTTAAGACTGCAGTGTTATTATCGTTGGGTTCAGTCTGTTCAGACTTCTCAGAGCCACAGATGATGATGAAGATGATGAAGTCAATATCACTGATTCCACTGCTGATCACAGTGGGGTTCCTGACTCAGGGTGAGAAACTCTCAGCATCTCTCCCTGTGGTCTACTGGTTTTAACAGGTTTTAATGGGCTTGTACATGGAAAAAGTTTCAAATTCCTTTTATGTGGATTTTTAAGACTACTCAAAGCTAATTTCCCCGATTTCAATTTCAGAGTCCTCTGCACAACGTGTCCTGAATCAAGCTGATGAATCGAAGTCAGTTCGTCTGGGAGAGAATGTGTCTATCAAAGCTGTTGCAAGTTCAACAGGTATTCACTTGTACTCCTGAGTGGCGCAGTGGTCTAAGGCACTGCATCGCAGTGCTAACTGTGCCACTAGAGATCCTGGTTCGAATCCAGGCTCTGTCGCAGCCGGCCGCGACCGGGAGACTCATGGGCGGCGCACAATTGGCCCAGCGTCGTCCAGGGTAGGGGAGGGAATGGCCGGCAGGGATGTAGCTCAGTTGATAGAGCATGGCGTTTGCAACGCCAGGGTTGTGGGTTTGATTCCCACGGGGGGCCAGTATAAAAAAAAAAGATTTATTCACTAACTGTAAGTCGCTCTGGATAAGAGCGTCTGCTAAATGACTTAAATGTAATGATGACATGAGCTGGTACCTGCTGAAACCTGGACAGGCTCCTAAACTCCTCATCTATACAGTAAATACACTTCAGTCTGGAACACCATCTAGATTCAGTGGCAGTAAATCAGGTACTGAGTACACTCTTACAATCACTGGTGTCCAAGCTGAAGATGCAGGAGATTACTATGGTATGGGTTATTATAGCGGCCCAGTGTTCACACAGTGATTTAGAGTCGTACAAAAACCTCCCTCAGTCAGACTGAACAGAGACTGTACTGCTGCAGCTGGGACCTACTGCAGGTGTTGAGGAGCAACAGACTATGACATGAAACACTGGTTTACTGAACACACACCTCAAGTCCTGGTTATATGACATCACCAAGCATAAATAACCACTACTTTACCACCATACAGAACATCTGGGTGCAACTGAAATACACCAAATAGTTTAGTCATGATCAAAACCAACAGCTATATCCCATAACCCCCTTCCATGTCTATAATGGTCAGATGATGTGGTTCTGCTCCTGTCCCCAGATATTCACTGTCCCAAGGGGTCTACCCACTACCCACCCTCCCTCACCCCCTATCAACCTGCTAATGTTCATTTTGTTACAGAGCAGTTTACTCTTTGTTTAACAACCACAAGTCCACAGATATTCACAATTATATTCATAATAAAAATCAGGGACACCTTCTTTGACATTAATACAAAGTACTTTATTTTGTTAACATTTCCAATCTAAAAGCAATACAACCACACGTATAGATGTAAAGATGCAGAAACACAAATTAATGACCAAAGCTGAAGCTATAGATAGATATTTAGAATGATGGAATGACAGACAGATAGGTGTTCTCTGTGTACAGGGGGTCTACTGGGAGCAGTGGCGTGGCTCCAGTGTGTGAGTGACAGGGGTCTGGTCCTTTAGGGTGGCCTCACAGGTGACTGAGCCAGCATTCCTCCACTGGTCAGTGGGGAGGGTGAGGCTGCTGCTCCAGCTGTAGTGACCGTCCTTCTCCAGGACCTCCAGACTCTGGCTGCCCTGCAAGGCTCCCCCGGCCCCCAGCCTCCAACCCAGCTTCCAGCCCCCCGGGAAGCCCCTGTTGGCCAGGCACACTAGGGCAACATTCCCCTGGTCCTGCTCCTCACTGGAGGGGAGTAGGACGGTCAGGGAGGGACGTACCACACCCACTAGGAGAGAGAAGGGGAAGGGGGGAAGGAGAGATGACAACATGTAAGGGTTAAACTGGACAAGAACCTTGAAGAACTTTCAACAACTTTAACATGAAGAAACAAATGTGATACTTTTTAAAATAGGACAGGGTCTGTGAAAATGGCAGGTTATGTATATATCTTCTACAGACTTTCACTTCCCTCCAATATCTGTTAAATTACAGTACAGATATTAAACTTAGATGCTTACAATATAAAAAGTTGAATAATGCATCTTAACTGGTTTAGTGTACTTAAAGACATCAAACACTAAAACTATCCTTTTCTGTTCACAGATGTTTGGTATATGACATTTTTATCCTTGAAGGATCATTAGATAATATGGAAACAATAATTGGAATTAAATCAATTAAACATCAACAAATACAACTATTTCTCAATAATGACTTTTTGTGGCTTTTTAAATGTTTAAAACGAATGTATTATAAAAATGATAAATCTCAAGGTACTTACAGTCAATGATGAGTTTGGTGCCGCCACCGAAAGTGTACCACAGTGATAAAGACTCATTGAACGGCCGTACAAAAAACCTCCTGCACTTTCCACACACCAGTAACTCTCTACACAACACACATTCAACCCTACCACTGATTGTCAGTCAAAAACAGCATATGTAGGTCATAACCTTTCAAATAAATGTTTTGATATTTTTAGATGATTTATTTTAGCTTACTATAAAATATTACTATAAAATATAAATGTTGGAGATTTCAAATAATTATCTCTGACAAACTCACTAAGTACAAGAAGGCAGCGGTATAGAATAGCAATACACTAGTATTGAATGAATACACTTACATGTAACTAAATACTATGGTCAATTACAGGCCTTCCACAGATGTATTAAGCTATTTTATTCCACGTTTAAGATTAATGTGTTTATGTCATTGCATTAACAGTTTCATCATCTGTCCTGAGGTTGGGTATTTCCATAGAGAAGGTGCTTTGCATTGGCAGCTCATGCTTCAGTGCTCTGGGAGTGTTTATAGCCCTGGGAGTTTCAGACTGCAGGACTGAGATCTGTCCTGACACTTTAATACTGCAGTGTTATCATCGTTGGGTTCGGTCTGTTGTCTTCTCAGAGCCACAGATCATGATGAACAATATGAAGATAAAAATACAGCTGATTCCAATGCTGGTCACCTTGGGGCTCCTGACTCACGGTGAGAAACTCACAGCATCTCTCACTGTGGTCTGCTAGTTAATAGGTTTGAATGGGAAAATCTCCTCTCTGACCACTCCGAGCTGTCGTTTCAGACAGGATCTGTAAAGAGACAGAGAAGCTTTGAGAATGTTAAGATAGTTTGAGAAACCTCTATGCTACTGTTTGTGCGTGTGTGGTGTTTACAATGCTTCTATTTAGATTATTATGACTAATCAATGCTGTTTCCATTACAGAGTCATCTGCAAATAATTTCCTGAATCAAGCTGATAAATCGAAATCTGTTATTCTGGGAAAGACTGTATCTATCAGAGCAACAGGAGGTTCAGGTATTGGTAATGACATGAGCTGGTACCTGCAGAAACCTGGACAGGCTCCTAAACTCCTCATCTATAGTGTAAATACACTTCAGTCTGGAACACCATCTAGATTCAGTGGCAGTAGATCAGGTACTGAGTACACTCTTACAATCACTGGTGTCCAAGCTGAAGATGCAGGAGATTACTATGGTATGGGTTATTATAGCGGCCCAGTGTTCACACAGTGATTTAGAGTCGTACAAAAACCTCCCTCAGTCAGACTGAACAGAGACTGTACTGCTGCAGCTGGGACCTACTGCAGGTGTTGAGGAGCAACAGACTCTGACATGAAACACTGGTTCACTGAATACACACCTCAAGTCCTGGTTATATGACATCACCAAGCATAAATAACCACTACTTTACCACCATACAGAACATCTGGGTACAACTGAAATACACCAAATAGTTTAGTCATGATCAAAACCAACAGCTATATCCCATAACCCCCTTCCATGTCTATAATGGTCAGATGATGTGGTTCTGCTCCTGTCCCCAGATATTCACTGTCCCAAGGGGTCTACCCACTACCCACCCTCCCTCACCCCCTATCAACCTGCTAATGATCATTTTGTTACAGAGCAGTTTACTCTTTGTTTAACAACCACAAGTCCACAGATATTCACAACTATATTCATAATAAAAATCAGGGACACCTTCTTTGACATTAATACAAAGTACTTTATTTTGTTAACATTTCCAATCTAAAAGCAATACAACCACACGTACAGATGTAAAGATGTTAGAAACACAAATTGATGACCAAAGCTGAAGCTATAGATGGATATTTAGAATGATGGAATGACAGACAGATAGGTGTTCTCTGTGTACAGGGGGTCTACTGGGAGCAGTGGCGTGGCTCCAGTGTGTGAGTGACGGGGGTCTGGTCCTTTAGGGTGGCCTCACAGGTGACTGAGCCAGCATTCCTCCACTGGTCAGTGGGGAGGGTGAGGCTGCTGCTCCAGCTGTAGTGACCATCCTTCTCCAGGACCTCCAGACTCTGGCTGCCCTGCAAGGCTCCCCCGGCCCCCAGCCTCCAACCCAGCTTCCATCCCCCTGGGAAGCCCCTGTTGGCCAGGCACACTAGGGCAACATTCCCCTTGTCCTGCTCCTCACTGGAGGGGAGTAGGACGGTCAGGGAGGGACGTACCACACCCACTGGGAGAGAAGGGGAGGGGGAAAGGAGAGATGACATGTAAGGGGTAAACTGGACAAGAACCTTGAAGAACTTTCAACAACTTTAACATGAAGAAACAAATTTGATACTTTTAAAAATAGGACAGGGTCTGTGAAAATGGCAGGTTATGTATATATCTTCTACAGACTTTCACTTCCCTCCAATAACATCTATGAAGCAAGACAACACACTACAATCAGTGGTGTTAAATTACAGTACAGATATTAAACTTAGATGCTTACAATATAAAAAGTTGAATAATGCATCTTAACTGGTTTAGTGTACTTAAAGACATCAAACACTAAAACTATCCTTTTCTGTTCACAGATGTTTGGTATATGACATTTTTATCCTTGAAGGATCATTAGATAATATGGAAACAATAATTGGAATTAAATCAATTAAACATCAACAAATACAACTATTTCTCAAGAATGACTTTTTAAATGTTTAAAACGAATGTATTATAAAAATGATAAATCTCAAGGTACTTACAGTCAATGATGAGTTTGGTGCCGCCACCGAAAGTGTACCACAGTGATACAGACTCATTGAACGGCCGTACAAAAACCTCCTGCACTTTACACACACCAGTAACTCTCTACACAACACACATTCAACCCTACCACTGATAGTCAGTCAAAAACAGCATATGTAGGTCATAACCTTTCAAATAAATGTTTTGATATTTTTAGATGATTTATTTTAGCTTACTATAAAATATTACTATAAAATATAAATGTTGGAGATTTCAAATAATTATCTCTGACAAACTCACTAAGTACAAGAAGGCAGCCGTATAGAATAGCAATACACTAGTATTGAATGAATACACTTACATGTAACTAAATACTATGGTCAATTCCAGGCCTTCCACAGATGTATGAAGCTATTGTATTCCACGTTTAAGATTATTGTGTTTATGTCATTGCATTAACAGGTTCATCATCTGTCCTGAGGTAGGGTATTTCCATAGAGAAGGTGCTTTGCATTGGCAGCTCATGCTTCAGTGCTCTGGGAGTGTTTATAGCCCTGGGAGTTTCAGACTGCAGGATTGAGATCTGTCTTGACACTTTAATACTGCAGTGTTATCATCGTTGGGTTCGGTCTGTTGTCTTCTCAGAGCCACAGATCATGATGAACAATATGAAGATAAAAATACAGCTGATTCCAATGCTGATCACATTGGGGCTCCTGACTCAGGGTGAGAAACTCACAGCATCTCTCACTGTGGTCTGCTAGTTAATAGGTTTGAATGGGAAAATCTCCTCTCTGACCACTCCGAGCTGTCGTTTCAGACAGGATCTGTAAAGAGACAGAGAAGCTTTGAGAACGTTAAGATAGTTTGAGAAACCTCTATGCTACTGTTTGTGCGTGTGTGGTGTTTACAATGCTTCTATTTTGATTATTATGACTAATCAATGCTGTTTCCATTTCAGAGTCATCTGCAAATAATTTCCTGAATCAAGCTGATAAATCGAAATCTGTTATTCTGGGAAAGACTGTATCTCTCAGCGCTACAGGAGGTTCAGACATGTGGATTTTTAAGACTACTCAAAGCTAATTTCCCCGTTTCAATTTCAGAGTCCTCTGCACAACGTGTCCTGAATCAAGCTGAAAAATCGAAGTCAGTTCGTCTGGGAGAAAATGTGTCTATCAAAGCTGTTGCAAGTTCAACAGGTATTGGTGATGACATGAGCTGGTACCTGCTGAAACCTGGACAGGCTCCTAAACTCCTCATCTATAGTGTAAATACACTTCAGTCTGGATCACCATCTAGATTCAGTGGCAGTAGATCAGGTACTGACTACACTCTTACCATCACTGATGTCCAAGCTGAAGATGCAGGAGATTACTATGGTATGGGTGTATATGGTGGCCCAGTGATCACACAGTGATTTAGAGTCGTGCAAAAACCTCCCTCAATCAGACTGAACAGAGACTGTACTGCTGCAGCTGGGACCTACTGCAGGTGTTGAGGAGCAACAGACTATGACATGAAACACTGGTTCACTGAACACACAACTCAAGTCCTGGTTATATGACATCAACAAGCATAAATAACCACTACTTTACCAACATACAGAACATCTGGTTACAACTCAAACATGAATCTCAAATTCACCAAATAGTTTAGTCATGATCAAAACCAACAGCTATATCCCATAACCCCCTTCCATGTCTATAATGGTCAGATGATGTGGTTCTGCTCCTGTCCCCAGATATTCACTGTCCCAAGGGGGTCTCCCCACTACCCACCCTCACTCACCCCCTACCAACCTTCTAATGTTCATTTTGTTAGAGAGCAGTTTAGTCTTTGTTTAATAACCAAAAGTGCACAGATATTCACTTCTATTTCTTTTCATATTAAAAATCAGGTACACCTTGTTGGACATTAATACAAAGTACTTTATTTAGTTAACATTTCCAATCTAAAAGCAATAAAACTACACATACAGATTTAAAGATGTGGAATCCCAAATTAATGACCAAAGCTGAAGCTATAGATAGATATTTAGAATGAGGTAATGACAGACAGATAGGTGTTCTCTGTGTACAGGGGGTCTACTGGGAGCAGTGGTGTGGCTCCAGTGTGTGAGTGACAGGGGTCTGGTCCTTTAGGGTGGCCTCACAGGTGACTGAGCCGGCCTTCGTCCACTGGTCAAACACTAAAGTTATCATTTTCTATTCACAGATGTTTGGTATATGACATTATTATCCTTGAAAGATTATTAGATAATATGGAAACATTGTAAATAATTTGAATTAAATCTATTAAACATCCAAAAATACAACTATTTCTCAATAATCACTTTTTGTGACTTTTTAAATGTTAAAAAGATACCAGCTCATGTCACTACCAATACCTGAACCTCCTGTAGCACTGAGAGATACGGTCTTTCCCAGACTAACAGATTTTGATTCAGGAAATGATTAGCAGATGACTCTGAAATGGAAACAGAGGAGAAATTAGCATTGATTAGTCATAATAATCCAAATAAAAGTATTGTAAACACCACACACCTGCAGAAACCTGGACAGGCTCCTAAACACCTCATCAATAAAGTAAATAGACTTCAGTCTGGAACACCATCTAGATTCAGTGGCAGTAGATCAGGTACTGAGTACACTCTTACCATCACTGGTGTCCAAGTTGAAGATGCAGGAGATTACTATGGTATGGGTGTATATGGAGCGTTTCACACAGTGATTTAGAGTCGTACAAAAACCTCCCTCAGTCAGACTGCACAGTGACTGTACTTCTGCAGCTGGGACCTACTGCAGGTGTTGAGGAGCAACAGACTCTGACATGAAACACACAGCGTTAGACAGTCCCACACCAGGACAACCTTACTCTGGTTACATCATGACAGGACCATAGTTCACCAAACCACCTCCTCTACACAACCATAACCATTACTTCACCTCCATATAGAAACCACCACTTTACTACCACACCATTGACCTTCACCTCTGGAATGTTCAGATATAAATTAATTGTGTAGAACAGACATCATTATCTGTCAAATAGAACATGGAATGTTAGCTCTATTCATTGTATTTCTATCTTTAACGTTCGAAACGTTTCACCTCACTGAATGCAGCCCTGATTTGCAAGATCATGGTGGGATGGTTTTGCTTCTCCTAGAATATAGCATCTCTGTCCACAGGGGGTCAGAGAGAGAGAGAGAGAGAGAGAGAGAGAGAGAGAGAGAGAGAGAGAGAGAGAGAGAGAGAGAGAGAAGGAGAGGGAGACTGAGCGTGAAACAGCAGAACACCTACAACAAACAGTCACTATAGGACAGATGACATATCTTACTCACACTTGGAGGAGAAATATAGTTATGACAGAAACTACAACCTAGCTGTAGCTACATTTCCATTCATTGTCACAGTAAATAAATGAGTCAACTAATCCATCATGTTATTTTCCAAATCAAGCTTTATTAGAACTGAGGCAGATAGCAACATCACAGTAACAGTCTGAGTAGAGAACACATAGAAGTCTCCTCTACTCTATACAATACACATTACTACCCAGACTGTGGTCTCCCCAGCAGTACTAGAGTTTACTCAGGACACTACTCTACCCCAGCCCAGACCAGAGCCTCGTCTACTCCTGCTTCCCCAGACAGAGCTCCTGTTGTGGGCCTCCCGTAGACCCTAGCCCAGACACTGGCTCCTGCGAAGGGGGGAGGCCTGGGTGTGTTGGAAGTGGGAGACCCTGCAGGTGTAGAGCTCTCCCTGCTCCCAGCCTGCCTTGCTCAGTGTCAAGGTGCTGCTGCGTCTGTAAAGGCCTTCCTTCTCTTCTTCTGGACTGGTCACGACCCCCTTGCTCACCTCCAGCCCGTCCACCTCCCAGCTCACCAGCGCCCCCTGAGGGGAGTAGCCAGTCAGCAGGCAGGCCAGTGTGGCAGAGCCCCCAGAGAGCTGCTCAGAGGAGGGGGGGAGCAGAGACACTGTGGGACTGACAGTAGGACCAGCTGGAGAGGAGAGAACGTTTTAATGTTACATTCCATAGGAGAGAGAAATAGAGTGCTCTATAAAATACATAACTTATTAAGGTTCACAGAGAACACAACACCAACCAACTCAACAACAATTACATAAATGCACAATAAAGTACATCACTGTTGGTGATTTTTTTATTTAGCCATGCATTTGCTCAGCCTATGAAACATCTTTGCTGTAAAAAGGACAAGGACCCCATTCATTAAGCAATCTTACTGCCCAATATCACTGCTAAATGCAGATATTAAGTAACTTTATACTTTGTTGTGCGTTGTGGTGCACCTTCTGTGTCCTGTGCTTCGCTAAGGCATTTATGTTGTTTAAAGGGGCAATCTGCTGTTCAAACAACAACAAAGCAGCCAACCCCACCAGTGTTTTTGGTAAACAGCTGAGGATGGATCTTGAGAAATGTAACCTCTCTCAAATTCATAGACAGAGGTATGGATGCAAGGACTGACCATCCATAAGATACAAATGATCATTTCAACCATGTTTTGAAGCTATATAGTGTTTGTTTAAAATTATATTGTTCATAAACGATTGAGTAAAACATGATTCTATTTTGGGTTCTAACAAGAGTATGGCAGTTGAACTAAGCTCATGAGGCGTATAAAACAATGGTTCTATTCTTCAAGAATCAATGGGTATATATCATTAGTTTAAAAGTCACAAAATGGATATAGGAATCGCAGATTGCCCTTTTAAAGTCAGTCCACTTTAACATAATATCAGACAATAAAACAAGGTCTGTTAGGGACCAGATCTTTTTCTGTTATATTCATAAGATTCTCTGTGTAATTCACTTGTAATTCACTTGTAATAGCAGGGGACTTAACCTAATTTAAGCTCTTTCAATAAAATATCTGTTTCTTTTGTATAACTTTTTCAAAGACGTTGTGTGACTGCATAACTGAAAGTCTCCCACTGGCTGTAGATAGTATTCTGCATTCAAACCCTCCATTCTAAAATAAATACTAATAGTCTGGTGTTCAGTATGTCTATATTCTGTAGTGTTTTGTAAGAAGTAATAAATGAAAAAACACTTACTTTTCAGCAGCAGTTTGGTCCCTCCACCGAACGTGTTCCACAGTGTCACGCCCTGACTCAGGGGACGCTTATATGTTGAGTCAGGGTGTGTATATTCCTTGTTGTGCTTTGTCTATGTTTAGGATCTAGTATGTCTACTTCTATGTTGGCCGGTGTGGTTCCCAATCAGAGGCAGCTGTCGCTCGTTGTCTCTGATTGGGGACCGTACTTAAGCAGCCTATTGGCACTGTCTAGTTGTGGGATCTTGTTCCGGTTAAGGTTTGTTGTGTTCTACCTTGGACTTCTATTTCGTTGGTTTGTTGTTTTGGCGGTTGTTTATTAATTTAATAAACATGTACGTATATCACGCTGCGCCTTGGTCTGACCCGTCATTCGACGAACGTGACAGAAGATCCCACCAAACAAGGACCAAGCAGCGTGCCGAGAAGGAGCAAATGCCTGGGACTCAACAGGAGGTTACGTTAGTAGATGTCCTCCTCGGTTGGGGGAGAATTACGGAGGAGGAGGCCGTCCGTTATCGGAGGGCGATGAAGGAGGATGCCCAGGTAGGAGAGGAGAAACGGCGCCAACAGTGCCGACGACGGAGACCCGAGAGGCAACCCCAATAAAATGTTTTGGGGGGGGGCACACGGTGTGGACGACGAGGCAGCAGGCGGCCTTTAAAGGGCGGATCTGCAGGTTAGGAGAGGAGGCCACCATGTTACGGGGGCTATTGGTTCAGAGGGAGCAGGAGTTATTCGGTCAGAGGGAGGCGCTACAGGAGGCTAAAAGGGAGAAGGAAAGAGTAGAGGCACGGCGAGAGGAGCTGGTTAGACAGCAGAAGGAGCGGGGGTTAACAAAGGAACCCAGTCCTGCTCCTCGCACCAAGCAAGTGGTGCGTGTCGCAAGTCCGGTCCGGCCCGTTCCTGCTCCCCGCACCAAGCCAGTGGTGCGTGATCCCAGTACGGCCCGGCCTGTTCCTGCCCCTCGCACCAAGCCTGTGGTGCGCGTCGCCAGTCCGGCCCGACCTGTTCCTGCTCCTCGCAACAAGCCAGTGGTGTGCGTCGCCAGTCCGGCCCGGCCTGTTCCCTTTCCTCGCACCAAGCCAGTGGTGCGCGTCGCCAGCCCGGCCTGGCCTGTTCCTGCCCCTCGCACCAAGCCAGTGGTGCGCGTCGCCAGCCCGGCCTGTTCCTGCCCCTCGCACCAAGCCAGTGGTGCGCGTCGCCAGCCCGGCCCGGCCCGTTCCTGCTCCTCGCACCAAGCCAGTGGTGCGCGTCGCCAGCCCGGCCCGGCCTGTTCCTGCTCCCAGCACCAAGCCAGTGGTGCGCGTCGCCAGCCCGGCCCGTTCCTGCTCCTCACACCAAGCCTGTGGTGCGCGTCGCCAGCCCGGCCCGGCCTGTTCCTGCTCCCCGCACCAAGCCAGTGGTGCGCGTCGCCAGCCCGGTCCGGCCTGTGCCTGCTCCCCGCACCAAGCCAGTGGTGCGCGTCGCCAGCCCGGTCCGGCCTGTTCCTGCTCCTCGCACCAAGCCAGTGGTGCGTGTGTCCAGTCCGGCACGGCCCGTGCCTGTTCCACCGGTGCCTGGTCCGGCAGCGGTCAGCTGCTCCACTCCGGAGCCAGATCAGTCCGCTCCACCGGTGCCTGATCCAGCTCCGGTCAGCTGCTCCACTCCGGAGCCAGAGCAGTCCGCTCCACCGGTGCCTGATCCAGCTCCGGTCAGCTGCTCCACTCCGGAGCCAGAGCAGTACGCTCCACCGGGGTCCAGTTCAGCTCTGGTCAGCGGCTCCACTCCGGAGCCAGAGCAGTCCGCTCCACCGGTGCCCAGTTCAGCTCCGGTCAGCTGCTCCACTCCGGAGCCAGAGCAATCCGCTCCACCGGGGTCCAGTCCAGCTCTGGTCAGCGGCTCCACTCCGGAGCCAGAACAGTCCGCTCCACCTGTGCCTGATCCAGCTCCGGTCAGCGGCTCCACTCCGGAGCCAGAGCAGGTCGCTTCACCGTCGTCGGTTCCAGCTCCAGTCAGCGGTTCCAGTCCAGACCCAGACGTCAGCCCCTCTCCAGGTTCGGGGTCTCCCATACCAGGGTCCAGACAGGGCTTGGTACTTCGTGGGAGGAAGGAGAGGGGAAGCAGCGCGCCGAGGTCCAGACCAGACCAGGGGCGCAACAGGGAGGCGGAGAGTAAGAGGTCGTCACGTCCGGAGCCGGATCCGCCTCCGAGGCGGAATGCCCACCCGGCCCCTACCCTGTTATGTTTATGTTGCGCGGTCGGAGTCCGCACCTTTGGGGGGGGTACTGTCACGCCCTGACTCAGGGGACGCTTATATGTTGAGTCAGGGTGTGTATATTCCTTGTTGTGCTTTGTCTATGTTAAGGATCTAGTATGTCTAGTTCTATGTTGGCCGGTGTGGTTCCCAATCAGAGGCAGCTGTCGCTCGTTGTCTCTGATTGGGGCCATACTTAAGCAGCCTATTGGCACTGTCTAGTTGTGGGATCTTGTTCCGATTAAGGTATGTTGTGTTCTACCTTGGACTTCACGTTTCGTTTAGTTTGTTGTTTTGTTCGTTGTGTTTATATTTAATAAACATGTACGCATATCACGCTGCGCCTTGGTCTGACCCGTCCTTAAACGAACGTGACACACGGTGAGACAGTCTAGTTAAGATGCCATACAAAAACCTCCTTCACACAAGAGTGAGCACACCCTGCACTAACAGAACCACTCATATAGCTCCACACAGCTTTGTAGAACTTTGCTATACTCATAAAGCCTTACACATCTTTACACACAATTACAGTATCAGTATTTGAATCTCTTAATATAGGAAATATTATAGCAAGTAATTAGCATGTTTTATCATTTACATTTACATTACATTTGAGTCATTTAGCAGACACTCTATCCAGAGCATCTTAGTGCATTCATCTTAAGATAGCTAGGTGGGACAACCACAATAATTAAGCACTTTATGTACCTATAGCATACTCTGATTAATGAAGTCACTGATTTGAGCCTCTTCAATGTCTCTTCACCCAAATTCACTGCAAAATGTTTTTTTATCCAATGATGTCATATGTTATCATATTGCATATGGGCAGAGTGAGACATTGTCATTTGCGGCAAATATCAATATTGACAATTATGCCATTTTACTGTCAACAACAGAAATATAAAGCAATTCACATGATTATTATTTGCAGATTCATCATCTGTCCTGAGGTAGGGTATTTCCATAGAGAAGGTGCTTTGCATTGGCAGCTCATGCTTCAGTGCTCTGGGAGTGTTTATAGCCCTGGGAGTTTCAGACTGCAGGACTGAGAGCGCTCCTTCAACACAACAGAAACCACGACAACCATGACTCTGATCACCATCTTCATCTGGACACTGGTCTGCTGCTGCCTCAAAGGTCTGTTGTTTTCTAACTCTTACAATGGAAAAATGACATATTGTTGAGTACCTTGTATAATCATTGAAATGGCTCTCAATTACTAAATGTCCCTGCATTAAATATGATGAAATATAAATGATTTCTTATTTATACTCGTTGATCATTATATATTTTTCCTCTTCAGGATCCAGAGGTCAGGTGACTGTGACTCAGCCTCCTGTAGTGACATTTTCTCCAGGAGACCCCGTCACTCTGACCTGTAAAACCAACCCTAAAGTGCGAAAATGGGAATGGAAATGAGTGTGCGTTCTGGTATCAACAGAGACCTGGAGAAGCTCCCAAACTCCTGATAAAATATGCAAAGAAACTGCTAGATGGGATTCCTGCTAGATTCAGTGGCAGTGGGTCTGAGAGTGACTTCACTCTGACCATCAGTGGAGCCCAGGCTGAAGATGCAGCAGTTTACTACTGTCAGAGTTACCACTATCTCAATAGTAAACGTTTGTTCACATAGTGATTTAGAGCCGTACAAAAACCTCCTGCATGAAATGACACACATCACT